GGTTAATTGACCTGGTTAATTGATCTAAAAGATCAAGACCCCCCTACTTTAAAAGTTTGGTTTTATCAGTTGTTTCAGAAAAGAACACATAATAACTTTGGAGAAAGAACTGTCGGGCGCAGACATTTTGGAGACTTAGCCGGAGCTAAGAGCTCTTTAAAAAAGAAAAAGTCAAGCTGAAGAGTAAAATACAGTGGTACCTCGCAAGACGAATGCCTCGCAAGACAAAAAAACTCGCTAGACGAAAGGGTTTTTTGTTTTTTGAGCTGCTTCGCAAGACGATTTTCCCTATGGGCTTGCTTCGTAAGACGGAAACGTCTTGCAAGTTTGTTTCCTTTTTCTTAACACCGTTAAGACAGTTGCGACTTGACTTCGAGGAGCAACTCATAGAACGCGGTGTGGTAGCCTTTTTTGAGGTTTTTAAAGACTTTGGTGATTTTTGAAGCTTTTCCAAAACTTTCCCGACACCGTGCTTCGCAAGACGAAAAAAATCGCAAGATGACAAAACTTGCGGAACGAATTAATTTCGTCTTGCGAGGCACCACTGTATCTCATCATTCCCTCTGCTCAGTGGTGGCTGGTAAATGCTGGAGCTTGTATAGTGGTGAGCAGTTAGGAGGCAGAGGTGACTTTTTCTGGTATTCTCTCCATCCTCCTCCCTTGCAAATATATGTAAAGGTAAAGGGACCCCTGACCATTAGGTCCAGTCGTGGCCGACTCTGGGGTTGCGGCGCTCATCTCGCTTTATTGGCTGAGGGAGCTGGTGTACAGCTTCCGGGTCATGTGGCCAGCATGACTAAGCCGCTTCTGGTGAACCAGAGCAGCACATGGAAACGCCGTTTACCTTCCCGCCGGAGTGGTACCTATTTATCTACTTGCACTTCGAACTGCTAGGTTGGCAGGAGCAGGGACCGAGCAGCAGGAGCTCACCCCGTCATGGGGATTCGAACTGCCGACCTTATGATCGGCAAGTCCTAGGCTCTGTGGTTTAGCCCACAGCGCCACCCGCGTCCCTTGCAAATATAGAGTGGGCACTTAAATGTTATTCTCAAACACAAACATCAAATATTTCAGACCCAACCACTGAGGAGAAAAGTTGGAAACCTAGAATGTCTAGGCAGAGGTGTACCTAGGCTGGCTTCCTTGCACTCTTGGCAAGGAGTTGCATCACAGCCTCTAAAGCTGGGAGAGACCATGGACCAGAAACTCAAAAAATTGCTTTTTATCTCTTTTCGCACTCCGCTAGTGACTTCCTCCGCTGCCACTGAGGTTGCGTCTCCTCTGCCCTTCCTCCTCTCCTCCACCATCAGGCACTCTGAGACAAGGGTGAAGAGGGACAATTTTTGCGCCTCCCTGGGTCTGCATCCTTGGCGGGGGACAGCCTAACCAACCCCTAGATATGTCCACTTCTAGGTGTCAGCATTAGGCAAAAAAGGGAAAGGACCCCTGGACGGTTAAGTCCAGTCAAAGCTGACTATGGGGCTGCGGTGCTCATCTTGCTTTAGGCCGAGGGAGCCGGTGTATGGCCACAGACAGCTTTCTGACTCATGTGGCCAGCATGGCTAAACCGCTTCTGGCACAACGGAACACCATGATGGAAGCCAGAGTGCATGGAAACACCGTTTACCTTCCTGCCACGGTGGTACCTATTTATCTACTTGCACTGGCGTGCTTTCAAACTGCTAGAATCGTGGGGATTCGATCTGCCGATCTTTTGATTCGCAAGCCCAAGAGAGGCTCAGTGGTTTAGACCACAGCACCACCCTTGTCCCACAATATACTCCCTGCTAGTTCCTGGTGCTTCAGAAATGTCAGCAATTGGTCATTTCCCCATATTTGTCCCCATACCTCAGGTTTTCAATCTGCCCTTTGGAAAAAAACCCTCAGCTGAGCAAACGAGCCCACTTCTCAAGAGGGAAGGAAATATGACAATCCAAATTGTTTAATTTTTAAAAACAAAACAAAACGGAGGCTGCCCTGCCGCAGTGGTACCTATTTATCTACTTGCACAGGCTTGCTTTCGAACTGCTAGGTTGGCAGGAGCTGGGACAGATGAACAGGAGCTCATCACTGTCGCTCAGATTCAAACTGCCACCCTTCCTATTGGGAAGCCCAAGAGGCTCAGTGGTTTAGACCACAGCACCACGCTGTGATCCCCCCCAGTTCTGCTTACACCAAGAGAAAGAGATGGAAAAGCCACCTGGGAGTTTTTGAATGAGAGGAAATGTATGAAGGTGGCCGCTGTAGTCTAGCTTTGGATCTTAGGGTGTGAAAGAATAATGATAGGGCTTTGCCCTACCTTCCCCTAGTGATCTGCCTCCACAGTCTCCACCTCCAGAAATCCAGGGAGCAGTACTGCCCAGGTGGGCAAAATATCACCTCCGATGCATAGGAGGAAGGCTTCAGCAGGCTTGCTGGAAACCCCAAGTTTGCAGGAACTCCAGAAATAGCCCAGTAAAGACTGATCATGTTCAGCACACAGCCGCAGAATGCTGGCTAAGCGGAAAACTTGGGAAGAACACCAGAGTTCCCTGGGAAGAGGGGTTGACCATTGAACCACTCTGCCAGTTGCAGATCTGTGAGGGAAACAGAGGTCTCCTAACAACTCTCAACTTTTTAAACAAAGGACGCTTCCCAGAATTCTTTGAAGGAAGCCCTGGCTGATTAAAGTGCCATCATAGTGCTTTAAATGTATGATGTGAACATGGCCTTGGTTGAAAGCTTATTCCTATGTTCCTGTGATGATCCATCAACATTCCCCCCTCCAACAGAGCCAAGGGGTGGGGGAAATGGAATAATAATAATAATAGTTATAGGAGCATTTAGACGGGTGTATAGCCAAACACTTCACGGTTGCCAGTGTGGCTTCCTTCCCTCAGGCATTATATTAAAAGGGCACGATAAGATGTTTTTAGAGCAATATTGTGTTTCCCAAAGCAAATCCACATACACACACACACCCCACCTCCCAGCTGATAGGATGAAAGGGCAAACGCTTGCTCACGGCAGCAGGTCTGTAATATGGCTAGATATTTATTTCATGCTATTAACTCCCCATCTTGCAGTAGCACTTAATGAAGGAGAAGCAAATGCACAAGCAGTAGCACTTTGCGGAAACGCGATAGGATATCTGGCTTGGCCTGAGGTGCAGTGCCTGGAACGCAGGCCATAAAGTCATTGGGCTAAACAGTTCCCATTAACCGACTACCAGCCTTGCTTACTGCGCCTAGATTGGCTGTTTGCACATTGCTACCGTTTCACTTCGTGGCATCATTCCAGTGTCATCTGGGCCTTATGCGCTGGGCATTTGTTTACTCTCCAAACACCTCAGGAAAAGATTGTGGTCCTACAGTGGGATAGGTAAAGGTAAAGGACCCCTGGATGGTTAAGTCCAGTCAAAGGTGACTATGAGGTGTGGCGCCCATCTCGCTTTCAGGCCAAGGGAGCTGGTGTTTGTCCACAGACAGCTTTCTGGGACATGTGGCCAGCATGACTAAACCGCTTCTGGCACAACGAGACACCGTGATGGAAGCCAGAGTGCATGGAAACACCGTTTACCTTCCCGCCGGAGTGGTACCTATTTATCTACTTGCACTGGCATGCTTTCAAATTGCTAGGTTGGCAGGAGCTGGGACAGAGCAACGGGAGCTCACTCCATCACGGGGATTCGAACCACCAACCTTCTGAATGGCAAGCCCAAGAGGCTCAGTGGTTTAGATCATAGCGCCACCCGCATCCCTTTACTCTGCAGTGGGGTACCAATAGTTCAAAGTGCAGCTCTGAAGCAGGAGTAAGTAAAATGGCAGGCTGCATGCTGTGTGATCCCTTAGAGTTTAGGCACATGCATTGGTCACAGGTCCATTCTCTCACCGGTTGGAGTTTTAAACTGAGTTCTTAAACTGAGTTACTACTGTACAGTGGTACCTCGGGTTACAGATGCTTCAGGTTGCAGACTCCGCTAACACAGAAATAGTACCTCGGGTTAAGAACTTTGCTTCAGGATGAGAACAGAAATCGCGGGAGACAGCGGGAGGCCCCATTAGCTAAAGTGGTACCTCAGGTTAAGAACAGTTTCAGGTTAAGAACAGACCTCCAGAACGAATTAAGTTCTTAACCTGAGGTACCACTGTAGTTGATACAGAAAACCCAGGGGTCAAAAGGTCACCCCAAACCCAATGTTGCCTTTGCTCATCCCTTCACTGGGGAGCCCAGGAGCTGGGTGGAAGCTGGAATGGGCAAAGACAAAGATCATCCTCTGTGTGTCCTGCGCCTGCCCTCTCATGCCAGGCAGTATCATGGGATGTGTCACATGACACATCATGTGGCCGGGGGGCAAGTTAGCACTGATGCCCCATAAGCAACCTTATTCATGTATGTATATAACATTTTCCTAATTTTCACCCCCCCACACACATAATTTGAAACCTAGAAAGCACAGGAAATATTTGATTCATACCAGTGATTTTGACATGTGAGATAATCCAATACTGTACAGCAATTTTAATCAAAATCTGAAATGTAGGGGGGAGTTTTTTTGTGTTTTTTTAATGTGGTGATCTGTTGTGGAACAACCCCGCTGAAGGGGTTAACAGTGGTTACCCAGACCTCGTTTGCTGGTTGCGAAGGGGGCCCCATAACAGTTTAAGCTTCAGGGCCCCCAAATGTAGGTCTGCCACTGGTGGGTTGTCCATCATTTGTTGGCTGAAAAGGTGGCAGCCCAAAAAGCAGCCAACAAGGGAGGCAGGTCACAGTCAAGGCAACTTGCATGGACATTGCCTACTTTGGACTGTTAATTAACAGAGGAATGGTCTTGGGGAAATTTGGATGCTTAATGGCTTTAATTATAGAAAATGCACCGGATCTTCATTTTAGCAACACAGCAAAAGTTTAATTGCCATGAATGCAAACATGCTTTAAAAGGGCATTTTCCTGCTCCAAAGGTCAACAAACCCAGAGTAGCTTTTAATCTGGTTTGATTAGGTGCAGGGCATCCTGTCTTGCTTCGCGGAAATGGCTTTGCTTTGTCACACCCTTGGGTATATATAAGGAATCCTCAAGGCTCCTGTTGGATGCCATATGCTCTCTGCTCCTCAACAACAGCTTTGACAGATCCAAAAGGTAAGCCTCCTTTAAAATTTATTTCAACTGCATAGGAGCTGAACCACACCTTATGTACTTAACACACCAATTTTCCATCACTTCTGCCAGTTTTATTTGTAACTGGACTGCGTATTTTCTGTTAATCACTGTTTAATCTTACTGTGTAATTTTTTGGTTTGAATTATGTATATGACCACCCTGGGACCTTTGGGTGAAGTGTGGATTATAAATATTTTAAATTAATAAAAATTAATAACATTAATAAAAACTAATAAAATTAATAAAAATTAAAATAATAAAGAAATAACTATAACTGTAACCTGGAGGGGGTGATCTGGAAGCTGAAAAGTAGTAGGCAGGAAGAAGAATGTGTTAACCTTTGTAGACTGTCATTATTTTGGGGTGGGATTGAATCACAATCCAGATCGCACCACTATAATTGATTGGGAGTTCTTCTGCAACAAACGCACTTTCCCCAAAAGTTCAGATTTTCTGCTGAAAGTAAAGTGATGGGGAAATGCAGTGGAACTTGTGGGATAGCAACATCATCTAACCTCCCCACAAACATATCAGAATGATTGCTCTTTAAATAGCCACTTTGTCTAATATCCCTGCAAACAAATCAGGAGGGGTGCTCATCTGCAAGTGACCTCAAAATTAGTCATATTCGGAGCAGATACACTGAAATCAGTGTGTCTGAGTATGACTAACATTTGATACCTCACCCCAAGTCACTAAAGCACAGCCATCAAATAAATCCTTTCAGTGGCAGTTCAGAGGAATCCCTCCCCTCTCCCCGTCCCATCTGACACACCATGTACTGTTTTTAAATTACAGAACTCAAGCTTCAGACATGAAGTCCTTCAAAGTTCTCTTCCTCCTTTTGGTCTCTGTCAGCTTTGTGCTGATGGAAGAAAATGACTCAAGGTAAGTGTATGAATAGGGATACCTGAGGTAGTCAGTCCTTGTGAGTTCTGAACTGACCTGATCTGCACTTTTTAGGCTAAATGTGTGGATTGAAATTTAACTATCCGTGGTTCTCCCAAGGATGAGGAGAAACATGTACAGTGGTACCTCGGGTTACATACACTTCAGGTTACATACGCTTCAGGTTACAGACTCTGCTAACCCAGAAATAGTACCTCAGGTTAAGAACTTTGCCTCAGGATGAGAAATAGTGCTCCGGCGGCGCGGTGGCAGCAGGAGGCCCCATTAGCTAAAGTGGTGCTTCAGGTTAAGAACAGACCTCCAGAACGAATTAAGTACGTAACCAGAGGTACCACTGTAATTCATTCCAGAGGTCTGTTCTTAACCTGAAACTGTTCTTAACCTGAAGCACCACTTTAGCTAATGGGGCCTCCCGCTACCGCCACACCGCCGGAGCACAATTTCTGTTCTCATCCTGAAACAAAGTTCTTAACCCGAGGTACTATTTCTGAGTTAGCAGAGTCTGTAACCTGAAGCGTCTGTAACCTGAAGCATATGTAACACGAGGTACCACTGTATCTGAACTGAGCATCTTGCTAAGCTAAAGTGTTTTCTTATGCTAAATCAGCTTCCGGTCCACAGACTAAATTAGGCCCACCAATATTCCTAATTTGTCCTAATTTCCAACCAGCCACAGATTAAGCTGCAGTTGCAAAGGAGCAATCAGGAACCTTATAGAGCATTATTGGTTGTTCCTTTGCACCTGTGGCTTGCAATTGGTGCCATTTACATTTGATGGCAAATGCAAGCAACACTACCAGAGTCAAATCCACCCGGGACTTTCTGATCAATGCTCCTGATAGAATCTGAGGTCTCCAAAAGCAGGGCGGCTTGCTCCCAATCAGCTGTGCGGCTTGCATTTGGCAGCAAATTTCAACCGTCCCCTTTCACACATAGTCCGCAGAGAGTTCTCCACAATGGGATATGAGCCGAAAGGAATTCCCCATCCTTTAGCTAGAGTGCTGTTCGAAACGAAAGATGAGGATTTTCCCTATGTGTTTCTGTTTTGCTCTTAGAGAAAACACAAAGAACTCCAAGTTTCTGCAGAGACGGTATTCAGAGGGGACATTAGCAAGCGATTACAGTCGAACTTTGGACAGCATGATGAAGAAGAACTTTGTGGAGTGGCTCTTGAACAGGAGAGAGAGCATGACTGAGTAAGTCTATAGCACAGGTGGTTCATCCAGGATTTTAGGGAAAGCACTGGGTCAAACTGATGTTTGGAAGGCTGAGTAGGAAGGGAGGAACGCAGGTGAGAAGGGAACACTTATTTCTTGTCCAGGATATTGCCTTGTTCCACTCCATGGGCTAGCATTCTCAAACATGGACCAGTCTTAAAATACCATAAGTCCAATGGGGCTGATCAGTTTGGATGCGGTTGAGGAAGCCTGACTTGAATACCTTTTTTTCCCTTTATCAGGCTTTTTATTTGCTCTTGAGTTATACCTAGGTAGTCGGGGCACTTCTGACCACCTTTGTTGGCATAAAAGGTAAAGGTAAAGGGACTCCTGACCATTAGGTCCAGTCGTGACCGACTCTGGGGTTGCGGCGCTCATCTCGCTCTATTGGCCGAGGGAGCCGGCATACAGCTTCCGGGTCATGTGGCCAGCATGACTAAGCCGCTTCTGGTGAACCAGAGCAGCGCACGGAAACGGCGTTTACCTTCCCGCCGTAGCGGTACCTATTTATCTACTTGCACTTTGACGTGCTTTCAAACTGCTAGGTTGGCAGGAGCAGGGACCGAGCAACGGGAGCTCACCCCGTTGCGGGGATTCGAACCGCCGACCTTCTGATCGGCAAGTCCTAGGCTCTGTGGTTTAACCCACAGCGCCACCCGCGTCCAAGGTTTGTTGGCACACCTTGGGATAAAAGAAAAGCAATGTGTTTGCGGGGGGGGGGAGAGAAACAGGGGGCAGATGAAATGGTCTTAACAGAGCTGAAGCATTATAGCACTCCTCAGGATCTCAGATTCTCAGGGAGATGCCTTTTGTGTATGTTCCCCCAGTAACAGAATTGACCCATCCAGGAGAGATACCGAACTCACAGCATTAGATACAAGGAATCAAGGCATTGAAGCTGGATCTCAGGAGGCAATGGACTTCATCAAATGCATTCTGCGAAATATGGGGAAACAGAGGTGAGCTCAACAACTTGTTTGGTCTGCAAAGGAAGATCCTGTTTCAGCATAGAATAAGTATTTCAGCTGCAAAGTAAATCAGATCTCTTTTTCCTCCTCCAGATTATATTGCTACTACTATTTATCCATCCTTCACCCTAAGATCCCAAGGTGGATCATAACATTAAAACAACTTACAAAAATAAGTTATGTTGCCCTAAAAATATACACCTCAGGTATTATTATAGTTCAGTCAATCTAAAATCTGTTGAAAAAGTGATGTTTGCAAACATTTGCTATACATAATAAAATAATGTTCAGTTGTAACTAGGGGTGGCAGAGAAATTTGATTTTGACTGAAGTTGAATGAGAAGCCCTCTAATTTGCACTTCTCAAACCAATACAAAAACAGAAGCAGCTACTCTTTGAAATGTGCAATTCTCTGAAATTTGCAATGCAACAAACCAATGTGTGCAAAAACATATTAGTGGTAACTGTTCATAAAAAATGCATATATTGGTAAAAGTAACATGAAAAAGTGCATTATATTAGGGGAAATCGCTTGAAAAAATGCATCTATTAGTCAAAAGTGCATTCAAAAATATGTTTACTATGAGAAATATGCACTAAAATGTACAACATCATGAGGATTTTTTTTTAAAGTATAAATGTGAACAACTGAATTTAACACTGGGGGGAAAAAGAAACTGGTAGAAAAATAAAAATTGACATTCTTGTTCATAACTTTTTAAAACTGCGCCAGTACTACCTCGCCTTTTAGATATTGTAATAAAGTAATTTTGAGATCAGATGGAAACTGTTAGCCTTTACTTTGATATAATAAAAATAAGATCCCTTCCCATTTTTTTAAAAAAGAAATGGCCAAAGCCAAAAATGGATTAAAATATTTTTATATCACCTTTCATTCAAGAATCTCAACGTGGTGTACAATAAGCCGCTACATTACAATAAAACAGTAAAATAGCAGCATTTACAAAGCTAGGGTAGATATAAAACTAAAGAGCTCAGAAGCAAAACAATCTTAAAATGCCAGCAAAATATGCAAGGAAACTTAAGGAGAACGTTCCTGCCAACAAATATTTTCTACATAATGCTTAGTTTATGTGGAGTTCTAGGTACCGCTGGTGTTTTTTAAAATATCTTTTGACAGAAATTGTATGACTATAAACAGCTGCTCCGGGAAAATGTCTCGTGGCCATTTTAGAAAATGGCGCCTGCAGACTGATGCCAACCTGCTTATGTCTACCCAACTTTTTCTCATTCCAACACGCCTTCTGCATTATATATAGATGGGAATTGCTGTCAGGCATGAAATTCCTATGGAGGTCTATTACAAGGACTGCATTAAGAAAGCTCTTTCCAATTCCTAGCTACCAGCATCAAATTTTTAGTTGCCTAGGCAACTGGGCACCTGGGATTTTCCTCCAATGCCCCCTCCCCACCAACTATGACTCCTTTGCAACTTTGCTCCCTGCCCCCCGCCATCTCAATTTCTGGGATCCATGTGGCAGCAAATTTCTACTTCACAGTCTCTTTCTTCTAGCCTGGCTCTGCCAAAAGGTTCAGATGACTGGAAGGACGTCCGGAGGCAAGAACATCTGGCATGGCTGATTTCTGCTGACCTCTGCAGGCCAATGTGAGTGAATCGCTTCCTCTCCCTTTCCCTCTCTTCCCTTTCCCTTCCAAAGGCAAGGAAGAGTTGGGACTCCACAGACAACCCACGTGGTGGTTTGGGCAACAGTATTTTATGGGTGCCAGAGAGACAGCAGGTCATCTGCAAGGTCCGGTGTTGATGGCTATAGGTCAGAAACTCCCAAATACTGATCGCTGCTCCTTATCTGCTGTTGTCGGCTACTACAGAATCAGTGGGTGGCAAATGTTAACAGTGAATACGAAGTAGCCACAGAAGGTTGATCCAAGGGAAATTTGGCAGCTATAAAAATGGTTTCATTTATATAATTACGTAAGAAAAGCTTGCTGGATCATAATACAGTGGTACCTTGGGTTACATACGCTTCAGGTTACATATGCTTCAGGTTACAGACTCCACTAACCTAGAAATAGTGCTTCAGGTTAAGAACTTTGTTTCAGGATGAGAACAGAAATTGTGCTCTGGCGGCGCGGCAGCAGCGGGAGGCCCCATTAGCTCAAGTGGTGCTTCAGGTTAAGAACAGTTTCAGGTTAAGTTCAGACCTCCGGAACGAATTAAGTATTTAACCAGAGGTACGCGGGTGGCGCTGTGGGTAAAAGCCTCAGTGCCTAGGACTTGCCGATCGCATGGTCGGCGGTTTGAATCCCCGCGGCGGGGTGCGCTCCCATCGCTTGGTCCCAGCGCCTGCCAACCTAGCAGTTCGAAAGCACCCCCGGGTGCAAGTAGATAAATAGGTACCGCTTACTAGCGGGAAGGTAAACGGCGTTCCGTGTGCTGCACTGGCTTGCCAGATGCAGCTTGTCATGCTGGCCACGTGACCCAGAAGTGTCTGCGGACAGCGCTGGCTCCCGGCCTCTAGAGTGAGATGAGTGCACAACCCTAGAGTCTGTCAAGACTGGCCCGTACGGGCAGGGGTACCTTTACCTTTACCTTTTTACCACTGTAATAATAATAATAATAATAATAATAATAATAATAATAATTTAGTTATACCCCAGCCACTCTGGGCGGCTTCCAACAGAATATTAAAATACAAGAGTCTATTAAACATTAAAAGCTTCCCTAAACAGGGAACAGGATCCAGCCCAGCATTCTGTTCTCACAGTGGCCAACCAGATGCCTGTGAGAATTCAGGTTCTTTTGGATAAGAGATGGCGGTGTTATGATTAGTAAATAAATGTCGCTACAGCTTTGGACCAGTTTTCTTACCCCATATATACCCGCTTGGCCACTTCAGTCTACGGAACTGGCATTTTTACAAATGCCGCAGAATGTCTGATCCACACTTGTGAGAAATCCATCTTTTAGTTACGTGCTGCAATTCCCCATGCCTTTTGTTGTAGTTTCTGAAGCTGAAACCATTTCCCTTTAGGCACACCTCCCCAGACACGTCATTTTAGTATGTGTGCTTGTTTGTAAAACTGTAAATTTTAATCTATATTTGGGTCATTTTATTGTGCTTACCTGTTTGCAGTGTCTGTTTCCATCGCTATTATCTTGGAATATTTTATGTTCTTTTGTGTATGCTGCTTAGAGAGGTGCTTTGTGGGTTTTGGGGATTAAGCAGTATATAAAGCTTGCTAAATATTCCCCCATGGCTCAGATGCACATCTTGTATTTAGTAGGAGCGGTCGAGTTCAGTATTGTGGGATCAGTTTTATAGAGCTCCCTTCCAGGTGAGGACAGACAGACAACCCCATCCTTCTTGAACTTCAGCAGGCATTATAACTGAATTGTGATTCTATAGCTTTAACTACCCCCCCCATTGCATTGAGTTTCTCATACACTGCTTACAAAGGCCATAGCTCAGTGGTAAGAGTATGCAGAAGGTCCCAGGATCAAATCCCCAGTATCTCCAGGTAGGGCTAGGAGAAGGACCCCTTCCTGAAACTCTGACAAGCCACTGCCAGGCAGTATAGACAAAACCACACAAGTTGGATCATAAGACTGTAAAGTTGGGAGCGTCCCCCAAGGGCCATCTAGTGCAGGGGTCAGCAAACTTTTTCAGCAGGGGCCTGGTCCACTGTCCCTGAGACCTTGTGGAGGGCTGGACTTTTTTTGGGGGGGGGGGATGAACGAATTCCTATGCCCCACAAATAACCCAGAGATGCATTTGAAATAAAAGGACACATTCTACTCATGTAAAAACACGCTGATTCCTGGACCATCTGCGGGCTGGATTGAGAAGGCAATTGGGCCAGATCTGGCCTCCGGGCCTTAGTTTGCCTAGCCATGGTCTAGTGCAACCCCACTGCAATGCAGGAATTTCAGCTAGATCATAATCCAACCTCTGCTTAAAAACCTCCAAGGCAGGTGAGTCCATCACCTCTCGTGGGAGTCTGTTCCACTGTCAAGCTGCTCTTGCTGTCAGAAAGTTCTTCGTGGTGTTTAGTCGGAATCTCCTTTCTTGTAACTTGAAGCCATTGGTTCGGGTCCTGCCCTTCGGAGCAGGAGAAAACAAGCTTGCACCATCCTCCATTTGACAGCCCTTTAGATCAGGGGTCCCCAAACTAAGGTCTGCGGGCCGGAAGTATGTTGAATGTATGTTTGAATCATTCCTGTTTAGAAATGATTGTAATCAAGTGGCATGTGTTTCCCAAGTAAATAAATAAAATACCATTGCTGAGCTAGGAATGCTCAGCCCAGAGCTTTACAGAAGGTTGCCCCCCTTCTCTATTTTTCACTCCCCCCCCTTACAAAAAAACCCAGGTTCCTTGGCAAACTTTACATATTTCACCATCTTTCCCCCTCTATTTTTCCAGGCTTCAATAGCTGACAGCTTCCTTGAGGAGAAAAAATGGACTAACTTCTGTACTCTCCTTGTTTTGTACCTTTTGCTAATGAGTGTCAACAATAATTATGACAGCAGCAATAAAACAATTTATTATCAAGTTCAGACGTGAGTGTTAAGAGTGTTATTCAATTTTTAAAACAACAACAACAACACCCCAAACAGAATTCGTAAATGCTCTCATCAGAAAGCATTTACAGGTTACAGGTTAATCGGTGAGTCTGGTATGATGCATGACAGGGAGGCGATTCAGAATCTGTTCTCAGGGCAGCCCCACACAGCTGCATTGGGGTCATGAAAGATCAATGATTCGGTTCCTGCTCAGGCATGGTTATTTATTTTTAAGATACAAAACCTGAAGATTTAAAAAGCTGCTATACAACAGTGAAACATTGCCACCAGCAACAATAGTAATAGTAATAGTAATAGTAATAATAATAATAATTTATAACTATGATTGCACATTTATTAAAAAGCAAAACCTTTTTCCAGCTCTAGAAGGGCTCCATAAAATACCAGTATCATCTTAATGCAGGTCACAAAGGGTTGATGAAGATAGTTGAGATTTGGTGGATTTTCCATGCAACGGAGCAGTTTGGTCTCCCCTCCACCCCAGCAGGTCCTGGATTGCCATCGCTTCCACTTTAAAAAACAACAACAACCAAATAGTTGTTATTTTTATTTGCTTACAGGGCACATGGGTGTGCTGTAGCCATGCACCATCTTAATATGCCCAGAGGCAAACTGCCAGCCAAACTGATACATCTGGAGAAGGTGCATTAGTGTTAAGTGCTAATCTGGTATGCAACAACTACTGGAATACTTTTGTGATTGGGAAAGAGTGTGAGCCTATGAACCTGGCAGTACCTGGTTCCTATCTCAGCTCAGGAACGTCGCAGCTAGCCTTTGGTAGACGGCTGTCTCTCAGCCTTCACCACCCTCTGCCCACCTGCAATTTAGGTGAAATAATAATGTTACACAGTAGTTGTAAGAACTGATGAAGTACATTTTGCTGAGTAGTGGCAAATGGTCTCTCTCCCCTCCCCCAAGTCAAGGTGCATTAACTGTCAAGAGCTCGTCCTACTCTTGAGTAGGACCCTGGCAGAGACACACACCCGACTGGCATGTTCTCTCCCTCCTGGTCGATCGTTCGGGAGCTTCAAAAGCTTTCTTCTACCTGAACATCACAGCGACCGATGCCTACAGACACCGGCACACTTAGAGATCAGCAGAATCTACGCAGCTTGCGTAATAGAACTCAGCAACTCAGCATTTTGGCTAATCTACTTTATTTACATATAAACACACACGGAGCACTGCAACATGGCTCCCCCTCTCTCTAGCATAAGACAGCAAAGAGAAAAAGAACAAAGAACAATAGTCCCACTTCATGGAACACAGTAACACAAATATCCCGTCTCCGTCACTTCCCACTCTGTGGAGTCAAAACATACACCGTCATGTGATAGACAAAAATCCCATGACTGCAATCATGGAGCAGGAATTCTAACATTAACACCCAAGTTATTTTGGTATTAGAGGCAGAAAATGCTATGTCAATGGATATATTTCGCAACACAATAACCACAAATTCAGGAATCAGCAATTTGCTGTCTTTTTCTGCGGGGCCACTGCACTCTGCCCGATGATAAGACTGACCATTGCTCTTCACCACCATAACGCAAGTTGAGTCCATTTTTGTTATAGCAGTGTGCCACTAGAGGGCAATATGACAGCACATTTAACCCAGTTTCCAGAAAAGACAGAAGTAGGAGTGAATCATGCAAACACAACCCTATTTTATACTGCTAGCCTAAGTATATTACTCAAAAGACAGTCCTGCAGAGTTCAGTGGGAATTAGGCCTTATTAACAGCACAAACTAACCTCACCGACTCAGAAGCAAGTCCTGCTGAATTTAATGGGACTTCCTCCCAGCCTGATACAATGCCCATATCCAGTACAGTGGTACCTCAGGTTACATCCGCTTCAGGAAACAGACTCCGCTAACCCAGAAATAGTACCTCGGGTTAAGAACTTTGCTTCAGGATGAGAACAGAAATCGTGCTCCAGCGGTGTGGCAGCAGCGGGAGGCCCCATTAGCTAAAGTGGTGCTTCAGGTTAAGAACAGTTTCAGGTTAAGAACGGACCTCCAGAACAAATTAAGTACTTAACCTGAGGTACCACTGTAGTTTCAAAAGAAAGAGAACCGGTTTAAAGAGTATCTTGCTATTTTAGTCCCATCCAGTGCAAATGATTATATAACTTTCTCCAGCATCTTTTAAATACCCCTTCTGAAATAATGTTCTGGTGATATATTCATCTGTTTATGAATGCAGGCAGGCAAAAATACATGTTAAATATTTTAATAAACAAAGCACTGTTAATGTATGGTTTATTTAATTTTGCCAGTCAACATATTACTTTTTACTCTTGACTTCAGAAGAAAGTCATGTATTGCACTACTGTATTACAGTAATTCTTTTAAGAAATGCTCCAAACTCTGGGCTATCCTGCCTTTCCTTTTTAGGGCTATTTCTGACGTAGAAAATTTTGGACCTAAATACTAAATGCAGCTTATCTGACCTAATGTCAGGTTCTCATGTTGCAGTTCTTTTTGGGGTGTGTGTGTTATTGGGTTGTTGTTTTTATTTTGATTATATATATTGTGGTTTTTATGTTGATCTTTTCTTTGAACCGCCCAGAGTCCTCTGGGTATAGGGCAATATATAAATTCAATAAATAAATAATAATAATAATAAATGAGGTTACATAGCTGCATAGAATAAGAACGGGGTGTCAGGTGTCTCTTTTCCAGGTTAAGTGAGGCTAGGAGTGCTGCCCAAATGTGCTCACCCACTGCCAAGTTTGGGATCCTCTCCAAATGCATGCATTTATAAGGGTGCATGGGTAGCTCTGGGTAGCCAAGCACAGACAAGATTCACAAATTCACTTACATGCATGCGTGTATAACACATCCCAGAGGGGCCAACGGGTTGCTTCGAAGTCATTTCAGCAGGGATTTGAACTTTTGACTCTCTCTTTTTTGATAATTTATTTTTTCAAAAAACAAAAATCAAAAACAGTATAAAAACAAAGCAAAACAATACAATTATAGCAATTCAAATCATAAATATTAACTCAATTGACTTCCCTCCACTCCCCATCTTGGTTCCATTGTACTAGCTTGTTCGTAAAACCTTACATTGTTAATAGTCCAATCTTAAAACCTTATTCATCTTAATGCAAGTGACTTTTGAAAGTTCTACTAATGTAAAAATCTATACATAACCCTTAGAAAGTATGCATTAAACATTTCCCTTTTTTAAAAAAAGAAAAACAATATCCTCTTTTTGGGGGTGGTGGTAACAAAAAACCTATGATTCAAATGTTGCAAGTCCAGCACTCCATCCGCCATGTCACCCTGAAAATATGCGAATTCTCATTTGAAGAATTTGAAGAAGTATCTGAAGAAGTGTGCATGCACGCGAAAGCTCATACCAATAACAAACTTAGTCGGTCTCTAAGGTGCTACTGGAAGGAATTTTTTATTTTATTTCTCATTTGTGAGTTTGCACCTCTAATTATTGGGGACATTTCAGCACCAGATGGGAGGGGGAAATGCCCCCACCCCCCAAAAAACCCGACCCCGCATTCTCCCAGAAGAAAGGTGGCAACCCTACCCCTGTCCACCAACCCCCCACCCCCCGCAGCCCTCCAAAAGCAGCCACGGGACTCCCTGGGCGAGCTCCCTACTGGGAAGGCAGAAGCACCGACCCAAAAGAAGCTTCCTTCCTGTCGCGCACGGATGACGTAGAGGTTTCTCTAATGTGCTTAATACCGCCTCCCCCCCCCGCCCCCCAAATCCACTCCTTTTCCACCATCTCCCTAAAGAGGCTCGAGCCCGGACGCCGCTCGCTGGCAGCAATGCACCGCCGGGGAGTCGGAGCCGGCGCCATCGCCAAGAAGAAGCTGGCCGAGGTCAGGCTTCTTTTCCTCCCTCCTCCTCCTTCTTCCTCCTCCTCCTCCTCCAGCTGGTCTTCCTTTCATTCCCGTCCTGCTCGCTTGCTGTCTTCCCCCCACCGCCAGCCCAGCCTTTGTAGGAGGGGAAGGGGCTGCAGTTTGCGCCTCTTGCCACTCCCTGGGAAGCTCTTTCGCCCTTAGCAGTGTCGGATTTACGAATAATAATAATAATAATAATAATAATAATAATAATAATAAATTTTTATTTATACTCCGCCCTCCCGAGCCAAGACCGGGCTCACGGCGGCTAACAACCAATAATAAAAACAAGTTGATTAAAATACAATTTAAAGATTAAGATACAACATTAGAACAATTAGGGAGCAATCTCATCATAGGAGGAGAACGGAAAAAGAAAAAGGGGGAGGGAATCAAACAGATTCTGAGCCAAAGGACAGGTGGAACAACTCTCTATAAGCTAAACAAGCTATAGCTTAGGGCCCCACTCTCTTGGGGCCCCCCCAAAAAAAATTAAAGGAAAAAAACACACACCTGTATGTGCATTTCCAAAATATAAGACAGGAGTCAGCAAACTTTTAAAGCAGGGGGCCAGTCCACTGTCCCTCAGACCTTGTGGGGGGCTGGACTAAGAGGGGGGAATGAACAAATTTTTATGCCCCACAAATAACCCAGAGATGCATTTTAAATAAAAGGGCATATTCTAATCATGTAAAAACACACTGATTCCCTGGCCGTTTGCGGGCTGGATTTTAGCAGCTAAGCTACACCAGCTCTTGACAACTTGTGCAGTAGTTATTGGTGGGTTCCAGTAGAGGCTAATGGAGCATCCCTTCCAACATTTCTCCGATGAAAATAGGGACGTCGTATTCAATAATAATAATAATAATAATTTTATTTTTTTACACCCCACCCATCTGACTGGGTTGCCCCAGCCACTCTGGGCTGCTTCCAACATATATAAAAACATAATAAAACCTGAAAAACTTCCTTATACAGGCCTGCCTTCAGATTTCTTCTGAAGGTTGTGTAGTTACTTACTGTATTTCCTTGACATCTGATGGGAGGGCATTCCAGAGGGCAGGTGCCACTACCAAGAAGGCCCTCTGCTTGGTTCCCAGTAACTTCATTTTTCACAGTGAGGGAACCACCAGAAGGCCCTCGGAGCTAGACCTCTGTCTCTGGGCTGAACGATGGGCGTGGAGACGTTCCTTCAGATTTGCAGGGCCGAGATTGTTCAAGGCTTTAAAGGTCAGCACCAACACTTTGAATTGCGCTCAGAAACAATTTGAATTGTGCTCTTAGGAAGCTGTGTAAACGTAGGCAGAAAGGCAGCTTGCTGGCCTTCAAGAGAAGGGAGAGTTGCACTGCTTTGGTGCTGCAACTTAAGACAGCCGAGTCTTGGGTGCTTGCCAAACAGTCCTGTGGACAGGGTATTCTCATAAGAGTATAAGATGAGTATACTAGATCAGGCCAATGCCCCATCTAGTCCAGCATCCTGTTCTTACAATGGCCAACCAGAGCCCGTGCAGAGCCTGCAAGCAGGGCATGAACGCAACAGCGCTCTGCCCAGCCACAATTTCCAGCAACTGGCATTTAGAGGCATCCTTCCTTTGACAGTGGAAGGAGAACGTAGCCATTGTGTCTTCCATAATGATGTTAAAGAATCAGAAATGCGTATCCAGGAGGGGGAAATGGCTTATATATCACTGTGTGTCTTATCACCACTTTTTTTTCCTTTGTAGGCCAAATACAAGGAACGTGGGACAGTTTTGGCTGAAGACCAATTAGTCCAGGTGAGATGAGGAAACACCAAAGTGTTGCTGTTGCTGTTATTATTATTATTATTTTATTATATATAATTTTTATTAAATTTTCTGTTTTACAATTTAGAATATTCGTTTAGACAACCTTAAGATATCAATGACTTCCCTTCTTCTCTTCCCATGGTTCATTTTGCATAGCATAAAATCCCTGCATATTTTATATAAACTAAACCATTCAGTATTCCATTGTTACTTCCATCAAAACTTATTTACACTGTTGAATTTATCTTAATGCTGCCAACGTTTTCAAGTGTACACAATTATCCCCCATATATTCAGTAAACATTTTCCGCTCTTCTTTAAACGAGCGTTCTTCACGTTCTCTTATTCTGTAAGTTAGATCCGCAAGCTGCACATATTCCAACAGTTTAAGTTGCCATTCTTCTTTGGTTGGGAACTCTCTTGTTTTCCGTTTTTGGGCTAACAAAACATGGGCCACCGTAATGGCTTCCATATGAATAACCTTTTTTGACACCTGGGAATTTCCATTTGAATTACCCCAACAAAAAGGACTCTGGGTTTTTTTTGGAAAGGTGCTTTAAAACATTTTTTTCAGTTCATTTTAAATTATTTCCTAATACTCTTCTACCCTTTTACAAGTCCACCACAGATGAAAGAATGTTCCCTTGTCCTCGTTATGTCTACAGAGATGTAATGAGGAAACACCAAGGTCTGATCTTAGCGTTAAAAGGTGGGCCTCTGCAAAATGTGTGAATCTGAAAAGCTCTTGTATGAGCCTAGGCACATTATCAACCTGTGGTTCCCATTGTCACAGGGTGTTGCACTGATCAGGGGGAACCAACAGCTTGGGGAAATGAATAGAAAAGCACATACCATATTTTTCGCTCCATAAGGCGCACTGGACCATAAGGCGCACCTAGTTTTTAGAGGGGGAAATCAAGAAAAAAAATCTTATTCCCCTCCCCCCCCAGCCCCAAAGAGCAGCGGACAGGGCTGGGTTTCCCCTCCCCAGCCCCAAAGAGCAAAGAAGCCAAGACAGTGAGTGGGTTCCCTCTCGCTCGCTGTCTCCAGCGGAGAGGCTGCGTGCAGCTATGGGAGAAGCCAAGACAGTGAGCAGGATGGATCCCGTTCTCTGTCTTGGCTTCCTCTTTAGCCGTGCGCAACCTCTCCAGCTGGGAGAGGCTGCGCCCAGCTAAAGAAGCCATAGCATTACCCCCACCTCCCGCAAAAGCCTACAGGAGCCGTGCACCCTTTAAGGAGCATGCAGCTCCTGTGGGCTTTTCTACGAGGATGGCGAAGGGACTGACTGGCCGCATCAGTCCCTTCTCCCTCCTGGGGAAAAGCCCGCAAGAGCCGCACGGAGCTTGTGTGCAGCTCTTGGGGACTTTTCCTGCCTGCCCCCCCCCCCCGCATTCGCTCCATAAGACGCACACACATTTCCCCTTACTTTTTAGGAGGGAATAAGTGTGTCTTATGGAGCGAAAAATACAGTAAGTGATATGTCTGTATTGATGGTATATGATAGTAATAATTTCTGGCTTCCCTATGATATGCAGCAAGTTTTCACCAGTGGATGGGACACGGAGATGGATAATCCATTGGATTAATCCCAACATTAGTCTTCAACCTATTAAGAAGACAGCGCTGGAGCAAAAAGCTTTGTCATAAATCGTTTCTCTGTGGTAATGGCAACAGAGAGTCGTCCCTTATGAAACATCAATCTGTTCTAGGTCTCAAAGGTGTATTTCGAATTAGTAGCCTTTCAAAGCAGATCATTTTAAATCTGTTTCTTCTTTCTATCCTCTGGCTTCGTTTACAGATGTCCAAGCAGCTGGATACATTTAAAACTAACCTCGAAGAGTTTGCCAGCAAACACAAGCAAGAGATCCGTAAAAACCCGCAGTTCAGAGTCCAGTTCCAGGACATGTGTGCAACGATTGGGGTTGATCCCCTAGCCTGTAAGAAATGGGGGAGGCAGGGATTTAGCGGGTGGGGAGAAGCAGGGTGAGGAAGGGTTTCTGCAGAATCTGATGGTTTGGTGCTTCAGTTTGATCTTCTGTGTTTCCGTTAAAAATAAAAAGAGTGGCATTGTTTCTCAAATCAAAATTGAGTTATCGCAGTATAATGTAAGTTGTAAGCCCTCTGAGGAGGGAACATTTTATCCATGTCCTGCCTTCCCAAGCCATGTTGCTATTGGAAGTGGACAGTGGGCCTGTCTATATCTCCTTATCCCCAACCTGTCCTTGCTCAGAGGCAAGTTAAATTTACAGTCAGTAAGAAGGAGAATTGGATGAGCATAAAGAACTTTCCATGGACTTCT